GAGGGGAGTGCCGTGTAACATCGACATCCAGGCTGCCCAGGGCCCCGACCCGCCGTCCTACGTCCCGCGCATGTTCTCCCTCCTCACGGACCGCATGACCTTCTCCCAGAGGGTGAAGAACTTCCTGATCTTCCTCTCCGAGTCCTTCAGCTGCAGCGTCGCCTTCTCCCCCTTCGAAGGGCTGGCCTCGGAGTTCCTGGGCAGGCCGGTGACAATGACGGAGCTCCTGAGCCACGGGGCCGTGTACCTGAAGAGGCTCGACTTTGCCTTCGACTACCCCATGCCTGTGATGCCCAATATGGTTTTCATTGGAGGCATCAACTGCGGGCACAAGAAAGCGCTGTCTGAGGTCAGTGACGGGCTGGGAAAGGGGGAACGAGGGAAGAGTTCCGGCAGTCCCACCCCTGTGTGATCCCAGAGCTCTGACAGGGATCACACCTCTCCCTCCGAGGGACAGGACACAGGGAATGGCTTCCCACTGCCACAGGGCAGGGTGAGATGGGATATTGGGAAGGAATCCTTCCCTGGGAGGGTGGGCAGGCCCTGGCACAGGGTGCCCAGAGAAGCTGTGGCTGCCCCTGGATCCCTGGGAGTGTCCCAGGCCAGGTTGGACGGGGCTTGGAGCAGCCTGGGCTGGTGGAAGGTGTCCCTGCCCATGGCAGGGCATGGAACTGGATGAGCTTTAAGGTGCCTTCCATCCCAAACCATCCTGGGATTCTTTGATTCTTCCTACAGGTATAATTTAGATTAAGACTTTCTGTATCCACATAAAAACCAGGCACGAGATGTGATCCCACCTCCTTTCCTCAGGTCTGCCCAGCACGAGGGTTTTGTTTGGTGAGGGGATTGGGTGCCCTGCTGTGTTTAATTCCAGCTGAAATCAGATACACAAGCACCATCTCAGGCAGGAATTCATGCCAAAAGGGCTGCTGAATTATAACAGCTCTTCCAACAATCCTCTTCCTCGTAAGGGGCAGGAGAATATTTCTTCAAGACCATTTGCTGCTTATCTAGTGAGAAAAATAACTCCTGCAAGAGCATCCTGTGCTCTTTCATGTACCAGCAGTCTTGTGTTTGAGTCCAAGGCTAATATTTTGTTGTGAAAGTTTTTATCTGACAGCACCTTCCATCACAGACACGTGACAGTTGAATTTTCCACTGCACTTTTAGGTTTGGATGAGGAAATGTAGACAGGTGGTTGCTGTGGTCCATGAAATCCCTGATTATCTTGATGGAGCTCGTGATGTGTGTTAGCTCCTTGCTGCATGTGCTGGATATCCTTGCTTGCTTGTGCTGTAGGTAGAACAGTCTCATGTAAAGCCAGAGATTAAGTGGAAAAGGAAACACAGGAGTAGGCAGATGATGAATCTGAGCATCGACCAGGTGTCTCAGCAACAAACCCCTTTGTTTCCCAGAGAGGATAAAGTTTTATCTTTGTGAACATGACTCCAAAATAAACAGACTCTCCTCTCTTCTTCCCTTGAACTTCTTCCACTTGCCAGCCTTCCCGGATCCTTAGGGAATGGATTCCTCCTGCCTCTCACCGCTCTCACTCTTCCCCCAGACTCTCAGGCCTTTGTGAACCTGAATCTTCTATTGCAAGAAAAGGCATTTGCATTTCACAAGCCGGGCTTGTAAAATCCTCCCCAGAGCCAACCTTCCCCTGGGGCTTTGCTTCACTCCTCCCACTCCGCTTGATGCCAGGCTGGAATTGTTTCTTTCTGTCGATCTTCTTTTCCACAGAATTCCCCATCAGATTGTCACTTTTATCAGGGTGGTTCTTTTTTCCTATCTGTTCTCTCCATCGAGCTGCTCAGCGGCTCCTCCGGGACAAACCCCCGGCAGATCCTTTGGAATGCATCCCACAGGCAAGGCCGTGGAGCAACTCCAGCTAAAAATCAGGCTCTGCTCTCGATACAAGGGTCATTCTAATCTACTCCGGGGGCTAAAGATCATAGGCCGGCAGCAATATTCATTGCAGGAGTATTGATTCTTAACTCCTGTTGCTCCTGGAAGAAGAAAATGAGGGGGAGATTTAGGTCAGGGTGAGAAGGAGTTTGTGGTGCACGACAGCATCAGTTCGGGGGTTTCCTTCACCGTTCCAACCCTCTGCTGCGCTGGATTGCGTCTGTACCTGGTGGTGTTCCCGGCCCCGGCACTGAGCTGGGTGTAAATCCCAGAGCTGGGTGTAAACCCCAGAGCCTCCTCCTGAGGATTTGCCCAGACTTTGTGCTGCTCTACAGTGGCATAACTTTATAATTTTGACCATAAACCCGACAGGCATTTCAGAACAGCGGCGAGGTGCCTACTGAAAAGAAGGAAAGCAAGCAAGCATTTTCAATCCCTGCTTTCAGCGAGCCTGGTTACTTCCAAGTGCCAGCGCTATTCCCAGGCTTGGCATTTAGTTTTTGCCGATCAGTCAGCGCGGGGATCGGGTGAGATCCCGAGCCCAGCTCTGCCCAGCCCGAGTTGATCTGTCCCGGAACGACTCATCGATGCCTTGAGCGGTTCTCGGTGACTGGTTTTGCTGGAAAAGCCGGGTGGAATGTTAAGGTGGAACGTGGGAATCTGGGCCTATTTAAAACCCGGGCGGCTGAGCAGGGGTTCCGTTTTCTTCCTGCGGGGGCTCCCCTGCAGTTTGGATTTGCAGACTCCCCTTCCTGCCTCCCGAGAACATTTACGGGCGACTCCGACCGCATGACGTTTTTTCCAGCCTGTGGAAAACCTCCTCCTCAAGGCATGGGAGCCCTTCCTTTGCCGGTCTGCCTGTCTGCCGTTCGAACTCCTGGCCTCGGAGGTTCCTGGCAGGGCGGTGACGATGCCTGAGCTCCTGAGCCGCGGCTCCGTCTGGCTCAAAAAGGATGGATTTTGGTTCTGAGTACCCCGTGCCGGCGATGCCCCAACATGGTTTTTTATTGGAGGTATAAACTGTGGAAAGAAAAAGCCCTTGGCTCAGGTCGGTGACTTCCAGGAAACAATAATTAGCGTTTAATGCTTGTTTGCGAGTGCTCCGTGTGTAAATAATCGCGTGCGTGAATCTGTGAGGTTTATACAACATAAAGCTATTTACTGAAGAGGCAAAGTAAACAGGGGAAATAGGCAAAAAAACGGGGTTCATTTTCAATTCCCTCTCACTCCTGCAGGTAATTTTCTATAGAATTAGCAGGATCTGAACATTTTTGCTCTCCCAACTGTTTTTTTTGTGGGTTAGGTGTGAGTAGTTCATGACTGCACTGAAGAGGCACAGACCCACCCATCCCTGTCTTACCAGGTGTTTAAAGATAAGTGTTATTAACTCAAACTGTTTGTTTTCCTGTCACAATCCATTTTTAAAAACAACGGATCTTTTTGGTTGGTGGAACCACACTTCAATAATTTAGAAGTGAAGCATCATAACTCATCATCAGTGGGTAGATAATGTTCTGGTTGCTCTGTGTCTGCATCTGCTGTCTTCCCTACAAAGGGAGCTGCAGTAGTTTGAGAAATGTCCTTAAAAATACTCATCAACCTCCCTAGTAAATTATCCTGCTGTCAAAGTTGCTTCTGTGCCATAACTTTCCTAATTAGGGCTTGTCTGCAAATCCTGCCTGTGCATTTATGTGGTTTGCTTTCGTGGCCCTGGGGCAAACTCTTCCCAGAATGATCTGAAATTGCTAATGCAGTTTTAGTTATAGCTGGCAAAAGCCATCCCCGTGTTCTTCCTCCTCCCAGCCCGTACTTCATCCTTCCAAAAAGAGGCTTTTCATGGAAATGAACTTTGAGGGCCTCGTGGTCCATAAATTCTGCATTTCTCGTGCCCAGTTTGAGTAATAATCTCTCTCTCCCGGGCTTTGTTAAGACTTCCTTCTAGGTCTGAGATCGTTTCCAAGCATATCCAGTTGCTTTGGCAAAAGGTAAATCCAGTACTTTTCCCAAACTTGGGAAAACCCTGTGGCAAACCTTGTTAAATGCTGGCTATGGCGGCATGTGACAGAGTGGAAAATTACCCTGCTCGTGATTAATTAAAACAATTCATTAGAAAATCATTAGAGAGGTTCTATCAGTTCCTAATACAGACGTGAGGGCAGTGGGGTTGCCAGTGAAGACTGAAGGAAAAAAAGAGTCCCCCAGGCTTCTCCTTGTCCATCCTCTCCAGTTTCCCAGCCTTGCTTGTGTTGGGGGGAGGGAGATACAATTCCTCTGACCTTTCTTTTCTGCTGATGGACCCGTAGAAGCCCTTCTTGCTTGCATCCCTGCCCAAGCTCAGCTCCAGCTGCACCGTGGCCTCCCTGCCCTCCTCCCTCCCCAGCCAGAGGGCATTCCTGCAAACCCGGGGCTCCTCCCTGCGCAGAGAGGGAGCTGCTGCCCCGATCAGACACTGCCTGCAGCTTACCACGCCTTATTCCACCTTTGCCGTGCCCGTGATTAAACATTGACCGAACAGCAAATAAGTCCAGAGATCACCCGGGCAAAGCACGGCCCGGAGGGTTTAAAAATCGCGGAGCTGGGGAGGTTCTTCCCCAGAGGCTCTCACTGATGTGTGCAGGGATGGCCCCGGGGCTCGGTGCTCCCCCAGCAGTCCCAGCCAGGCTGGTGGTGCTGCTGTCCCTGCTGGGTTTGGCTGCAGCTGGGAAGCTGCTGGTGGTGCCGGCGGACGGGAGCCACTGGCTCAGCATGAGGGAGGTCCTGGATGTTCTCCATCAGAAGGGACACGAAATAGTCGTCGTGGCACCCGCAGCCACTTTGTACATCAAGCCATCCAAGAGTTACGAGTTGAAGTCCTATGCGGTGCCTCTCACGCTGGAAGGGGTGAAGAAAGAATTGGGGGCATTTCTGCAGATGTCCTTTGAAGAGGGATTTTTCCTGACGAGATTTTTCAAAGCGTATGAAGGCCTGAAAAGACTGGGTGAATTGACAGTTCACGGCTGTGAGTGTCTCCTGAAAGACCAAGAGCTCATCAGGTATCTTGAGGAGAGCAAGTTTGATGCCCTCCTCACAGACCCTGTATCGCTCTGTGGGTTGATCCTGGCAGAGCATCTTTCCCTTCCCTCCGTGTATTTCCTCCGAGGAGTCCCCTGTGGATTGGATTTCGAAGCCACCCAGTGCCCCAGACCCCTTTCATATGTTCCCAGGGACTTATCGCAGCACACAGACCACATGACCTTCCTCCAGAGGGTGGAGAATCTACTGTATGAGATCTCAAATTATTTCCTCTGTGATTTTGGCTTTCAATCGTTAGCCAAACTGGCCTCGGAGTTCCTGCATCGGGAGGTGACAGTGCTGGATCTCCTGCGCCGGGGCTCCGTTTGGCTCCTCAGGGCAGAGTTTGTGATGGACTATCCCCGGCCTTTGATGCCCAACATCATTCCCATTGGAGGGGTGCACTGTGCTCACAAGAAGCTGACTCAGGTGGGTTCTGGTTTAGTTCGTGCTGAGGTTGATTTGTGCGTGCTGAGGGTGAAGTTTTGTGCTGCAGGGAGGAATCGAGTTGCCCTTTTGGGTGACAATCC